TTGTGTGCTTAGTGACCTCGTATTTTCTGAGTGTTTGTAGAATACAGTCTCTACGCCTCATCAAGACTACTTGATCTAATTAGCAGGTTCAGGGACAACGGTTTAGAATAACCTATCGTGTCATTGTATCTTTGACTTTCATTCCGTTTACCGAGTAAAGTGAACTCGTAATAGCATTCAAGCACATCACCAGGTTTTCCATAGTTGTTTAGTTTTAAGTGACTCATGAATCCAATGATGAAATTCTTTTTTATTTTACACTTTAGCTTCATTCGAAGAGACAATTCTATTGTACTACCAGGTAATGTCAGGAGGTATTCATTTAATTTACTAAACAGGCTTTGCTTTTGCAGATCATTCCAATCTAAATTTTAAACATCTAATAGTTACCTATAATTACTGATTTAGAAACATTCACTGATGAATAAATCCATACGATATTCCTTTGAAACAGTTTTCAGTGAAAGAGAAAATGACAATGAAATGCTTGTATTCTAAGTGTTTTCTTTACTTTTCTATCTCATTGAAGTAATAAATTGATGGAACTTAGTCAGTATGAAAGTGAGATAGTAACAGATATACACATTGATAGCGTTGAATGGTGAGTACTTTGTGCTATATCCCAGTGAAGATTAAGTTACAGGTAACTTCCGAGGGCTGTTAATAGACTAATATTCTATAAATATTGTACTCAACAATTACACTATGTATATTTATATTCCTTTTATGATAAGCTTTATTTTGATCTATAATTTATTATTATACGATTTACGGTTCTTAAGTTATGTTCAGTTTATTAACTACTGCCTCCCACATTCACAGCCACTTTTTGGGCTTATTTGTGTACAAATATTATTTCCTATTTTATGGTACGTTGCGGTCTGTATGATTGATATATAAACCAAGTATGCCTGAAATAAATGATTCGATTCATAGTACGGAAGCTGGTATTGTGTTCTGGACTCAAGTGGAAGGGCTCGGAGGACGTAGGACCAATAAGGACGCTAAACTGCCCACACCGGTTGAACGTCATTGGTTGGCTTAGTGTGAAGGTTCGTATAAGTCGTACTCGGATTGGTAGATAAGTCGTGTGATAAAAAAAGCCAGACGTCAAGGTCATAACACTTTGCATATATATCACAGGTTGGTTGGATTTGAAAGTGTGGACTGATGGTTAGTTAAAGGTAGTTAGTACGAAACCATCGATCCAGATTTCATTCTAGATAAGACTTTTCAGCAACTACTACTTGGAATCTTGAGAGAACTGGTACTCCTTATGACATATAGACCTAGGTCACCGGGTTTCATGAATTGAAACTACAGCACAAACACGCACGGATGACGAATTACTTGGTCATTACCAAGTTAATAATGATTAGTAAAAATGTAAACTACTTGGATTTCAACCCCATGGTCTGTAATTAAATCGAAAACTTTTGTGTCTTGTATTTAATCCCTGGTAGTACATTTTTTTCACTTTTCACAGAAACAAAGTTACACATGAAACGAAAATGTTTTTGCAGTGATCTCCATATAATGCAAATATTCTCCAAATAATATTGACAGTGCAGTTCAACCGGGTCTGTTGTAAGATAGTAACTCACTAAAGATAATGATGGATGTGCCGCTCAATTAGACATTAACACCGTTGGATGCCGGTCAGCTCAGTGATCTGGTGGTTACGCACTCGCGTGCGAGACTGATAGATCTTAGGTTCGAATCTGACGAGACAGGATCGTGAATGTGAAATGCTGAGGAGTCTCACAGTAGGACGAAACGGCCGTCCAGTACATTCATGGCGGTCTAGCTTCAATTGACTCATGATTTTAAGCATTGAAATAGTGATCTTGTTTGAACCAAATCCGGCCAATTTACCATAAATTACAATACAAATTTTCTTTCCTTTTTTAAAACGTTGTTTCTCATTTTTCACGACTGAAACGAAAACAAACAAACAAGTCCTTACCTTTTATATAGATCACTGATGTTTTATTTTGTTTATATTTTTGGTGTTGATTATCAGCTGTTGTGAATGATTGTCGTTAGTAACTATTAGTAAAAAGGAGACAATGTCATCTGTTCGCACCTAAAGATGATAATGTCAAACTAGTTAGAATTTAGAAAAGAAAGAAAGAAAGAAAGAAACAGCTTCAAAGTTATGGAATAAACATCAATAGAATATATCAATTAATCAGTGTAAGATCAGAAAATGATCATTAAGTACCACCTATCAAATGTTAGTTTATCGGTAAATAACTTTGAAGGTAATAATAGATGGAGTTATATTTCTCTTTAATGTTTATTAGAGTTAAAAATGAATTAAGACTTATGTAAGAAGTAGATTAAGGTTTAAAATTATGATGAAGGTGTTCATAAATGAATCTTAACTCTAAAGTTGGAACCCAGAACGCTTGTTTCGTCCTACTTGAGATTCATCAGTTGAATGTAGGTGAATCTTGGTATTGATGTTTATTTCAAGCATAGAACTTAGTAACTTTCATTTTAAACCCCAAACGCATCTACTCAACTATTCAGTTAGCCATAATCAATATCTTTCATAAAAATTTGTTAAAAACAGTATTACAACAAACATCACAAGTTTCAGATATCCCAAACAAACATGACTGAAATTCAGACATAAAGAACAGTCAGTCAGTCAGCAAGAACACAGAACTTCGTACGTATGTACATCAGTTCGAGTTGCCATACCACATTAGCACAGAGATGCAGTTGTCGACTCAAATCCCGTGGTGGTAGAGATAGTAAGAGTATAAGCAGTAATCGGAAAGATTAGGGTTTGAAGATATTATTCAGAGAGTATAATTCAGTGAAATAAATTTGGAAAGAGAAAAAAAAGAGACAAGGAGGATTCATAAAGATATTCATTGTAAATTCTTAAATAATGATATCATCATTCATTCATTTATACTTGTCACTTAGTAATTAATAGTTCTTCTAAACGCCAATCATCAAACTGTATCACGAGGCAAGCCCTAACTTGGAATTCTGAAGTGAAGAGGAAAAGAGGAAGATACAAAGAACACATTACGTCGAGAAATAGAAGCAGATATGTAAAAAGGATGAATAACAACTGGAACGAGCTGGAAAGGATTGTCCAGGACAGGGTTGAATGGAGAATGCTGGTGAGTGGCCTATGCTCCTTCACGAGGAGTAACAGGCGTTAGTAAGTAAGTAAGTAAGTAAATAGTAATTAATAGTAATTTGTAGCTCGTCCAATTATTACAGATCACTAGGTTTTTTGTATCACTTATTTACAAGCATTTTCCGAATGCATCAATGTTCAGTTAATTGAATGGGTACAACAATTTAAAAGTACGATTTTGTTTACTGAGGATCTTATTTCAAGCTCTATTTTCATTCGACAAATTGGAATCGCTTACATTAATGTGTCATATCAGCTGTGACCAGTAGAGTTCAACCAATTTTGTTGTGAGATATTAACTCACTGAAGACGATAGTAGACGTTGGTGCATTTTCATGCATTGTTTGAAGTTAGATATTAACAGAGTCGAATCACGCCTCAGTGGTCTAGAGGTTAAGCATTCACGCACAAAAGCGAATGTCTTTCATTCGAATCCCACATAAGTCATCGTGAATGAGCACTTCTACTGAGGAGTCCCATATTAGGACGAAACAATCGTCTAGTACTATCAGGTTTTCCATAGTTGTTTAGCTTTAACTAACTCATATATTCATCGTCGAGCAATCAGTTGAGTGGAACTCATCACTATACATCAACTTGATTGATTATGAAAAGGCATTCGACAGTGTAGATAGGAGGACATTATGGAAACTTCTTCGACACTACGGAGTTCCTCAGAAGATTGTCAATATTATCCGGAACTCATACGACGGACTAAAGTGCAAAGTAGTGCATGGAGGACAGCTGACAGATGCATTCCAAGTAAGGACCGGAGTCAGACAAGGCTGTTTACTCTCTCCCTTCCTCTTTCTTCTGGTGGTCGACTGGATTATGAAGACCTCAACATCTGAAGGAAAACACGGAATACAATGGACAGCTCAGAATCAATTAGACGATTTGGACTTCGCAGATGACCTAGCCCTCCTATCACGTACACACGAACAGATGCAGATGAAGACAGCCAGTGTAGCAGCAGTCTCTGCATCAGTAGGCCTCAGCATACACAAAGGGAAAACTAAGGTCCTCAAATTCAAAGCGGAGAACAGCAATCCAATCACTCTTGATGGCGAAACTCTGGAAGATGTAGAGTCCTTCACATACCTGGGAAGCATCATCGATGAACAAGGAGGTTCAGATGCAGACGTAAAGGCGAGGATCGGCAAAGCAACGGTCTCATTCCTACAATTGAAGAACATATAGGACTCAAAACAACTTTCAACCAATATCAAAGTGAGAATCTTCAATACGAACGTCAAAGCAGTTCTACTGTATGGAGCTGAAACTTGGAGAACTACAACAACCACCATCAAGAAGGCACAAGTATTTATAAATAGCTGTCTACGCAAGATACTCAACATCCATTGGCCGGATACCATCAGCAATAGCCTTCTGTGGGAGAGAACAAACCAACTTCCAGCTGAAGAGGAAATTAGGAAAAGACGATGGAAATGGATAGGACATACATTACGCAAATCGTCAAACTGCATCACGAGACAAGCCCTGACTTGGAATCCTGAAGGGAAGCGAAAAAGAGGAAGGCCAAAGAACACATTGCGTCGGATAATAGAAGCAGATATGAAAAGGATGAATAGGAACTGGACGGAGCTAGAAAGAATGGCCCAGGACAGGGTTAGATGGAGAATGCTGGTGAGCGGCCTATGCTCCTTCACGAGGAGTAACAGGCGTAAGTAATATATATATATATATTGAACGTTGAAGCTTCAAATGAAATCCTTAATAAAAGAAATCATACTTTCACATGTATGACTTACCCATCAAGTGTAAATATTCATAGTGTAATTGGTTTAACAAAAAAAAGCAACTCAAAAAACAATCTCAAGTATAGAAGTATCTATATTTATAACTCTTATATGTATATATATTTGTGATCTGTATAAAGTAACATTTTTAAAATACATAGGGGGGAAAAACGAGAAAAACCCAAAAAAAAAATAAAGAAGAAACAAATCAACACCAGTTAGAAACTACTCGTTAGTAACAATCATTGAATGTAGTCGATTATAAAAGAAACTTTTATAGTTCATCATTTCTAATCATGACATGTATACACATACACTTGTAGAGAGAAAGAAGAAAAAGAAAAGAAGAAGAAGATGATGAAGAGAAGGAGACTAACACATATAACCATAAGGTAAGAGAATAAAGAAGGAATAATTGAAGAGTAAAGAATTAAAACATCATATTATATGTACTGATTATGTTCAGGGCTTTGTTTCTAAAGCAGATAATCTAAGTGTTTTCCAGTATATTGTTAACAAGTATATGAATAATATAAGGAATAGGGAATCCAATTATTATTATTATTATTATTATTAGTAGTAGTAGTATTGTTATTAGTAGTATCTCTAGTAATAAGTTTCTTTTTCTATCCATGAACCAGGAAATCGTCGAATTAAATATTTTCTTGTTTCATCATAAGCAAAAATCAATATGGAAAATGGTAATGCTGGAAGCCACCATGTATATCTAATAATATAACAAATCAATAAACCGAGTATTATTTATAATCGGATTGTAATTATAATTGAAATGAAATGTTTCATGTGATGAGTTCACGAACTCATCTCTCTGATATTGAATGAATTCACTATTTCTACTAATTCTTTGATCAGTAATCATCTGATAGATTATGTTCATAGATGATTCTTCTTTGTATAATAGGACTTTTTGAGGATACTACTGTGGTGTGGATTACTTATATCCATACATGTAGTATATAACGATGATCAGGCATAGAATGTATTTCAATAGAAGATTGATGAGGAAAGAATAGGAGCGGAACGGAACGGAACGGAACGCAATTGGTATGAAAATGCATGAACAATGAAATCTGAGACAACGGTTTGATGTTTGCAACAGGAACAGCCAAGTTTGATATGATGGATTGATATTTTGCATATTAAGGATTTACTATACGGTTCTCAGATTTTAATGAGATACCCGCTCGTGTTCTTGTTCATTACACCACTACTAGTACTACACACACTCCTATTAGTAGTAGCAGTAGTAATGGTGGTGGTGATAGGAGAAGTTGTAGCTTACATACTTATCCAATAGTTTATTGTTTACGTTGAAATACATTGAAATACTGGCCTATTAACAATTAAAACGTCATTAAGGTTAAACGATTAGGTAATACTATCAATTAGATTACATTCTCTTACAATTCTCCGGCGAAACTATAATCTATGGACGACCACACTAACATTGAAAGTGTTCACTTAATAACTAGGACCATATAAGGGTTATAAACCCGTGTGAGGAATTGGAATTCTGATTTACAGTTGATGGTTAGGATTAGAGATTAGATCTATGGTTTCCCATCACGTGCTGATATCAGTTATAATGCCAAAACATTCTTTAACCAAATGGATAAGTGAATTTCGCACTAAAATCCCAGATCTGTTATCTTATACCTGATTAGTTCATCCATAAATTATAGTCTGGTTCAATTCTCTTTCCTTATACTTCAACAAAAGGAAAATATAACATTTATAAATTTAATAGAAATTACCTTAAAGGCATCATACGTAGACCTTTATCTAAACCAGGACAATAGGATAGGAAGATTGCTAATGCAGTTTCAAAGAATAATGCAAAATTTAAATATTTATTCCACATTCCTTGTTGTATTACTGAATTACGACGTGTTTTACAAATAATTAAATCAGCCCATTGTACTATGACAATTGATGCAAAAAATGCAGTTTGACATGTGGACTCTAAACGTTTACGTTGTTTATAAGTCTGTAGGGAAGAGATAGGGAGATAGAGAGAGAGAAAGAAACCGATAAGATGCAATACAAAAAGAACGAATTACTAAATAATCTAACTGTTAGATATCATTACATTCATAAAAGAACTAGGTGTACCACTCATAGTTCTAATATGTACATGTTTTATACTTTCATAACAGGTAAAGATGTTTCCCGCTCCCTTCGATCGATTCGTTGCTGATTCAAGATTACAATTTGGATTGATTGAGGACCGATGAAAAAGACTAAAATTCGTTTACCTTTATTGTTTAGGGAGGCCGACTCATTGGTCTAGAGGTTAAGCTTTCGTGCGCGAGATCAAAAGTTCTGGGTTCGAGTCCTGCGTGTGTAGTTGTGAATGCGCAGTGTTTAGCAGTCCCATACTAGGACAATTCGGCCGTCCGGTGCTTCCAGGTTTTCAATGGTGGTGTAACACTAATTGATTCATGATCCACAATCTCTTATTGATGAAAGTGTAGCGTAGGGATAAGGTAATCAGAATTAAGTGCGTGAAATTTTATTTCTAGCATAAAATTTTTTAAAATGGATAGACTTCATATTATATCATGTAAAGTGACCAGTAGAAATACCATTGTATCATTGTAAAAATAATAATGTAGATGATGTACAACTCGGAGATCGATTCCATCTCTTCAAATAACAATTCATAGAAGACTTTAATAGATTCGTTGGCGAGACTGTAATTTATGTACAACCTAAGAGCGATGTCAAAGTGGCTTTAAAAAATGTCCATCTACTTATTAGTGTTAAATGAGGGTTATCAACTAGTGTGATGAATTAGATTTGACATTCTCATCACGAACTGATATAAACTATAATGCCAAAACTCTATTTAACTAAATGGATGAATGAACTTCTCATCAAAATCCAAAACATGTTATCATAAATCTGGTTGTTTCGTCCTTAAATTACAGTCTCATCATTCTGTTTTCTGACTGTCTAACAACCGGCTAAAACTCATTCTTGGTAGTCTTCAACTAGCTTTTATACTTTACCCATGATGGAATTCGGAATATTTTTTTCTGTTAGTTAGACATAAGCATTATTAATCTGTAAGTTAATAAGACAAATGCTTGTTATTTACTCTAGATTTTAATTCATTCCGCTACATAGTTTGAATAATCTTATTGAACAATCCAGCTGACGAGTCTCAAATAGAACGAATTGCACATTCTGAATTCTACTGCTAGCCACTATCCATCTTTCACAATTGATTGATCTCTGGGTGGTGATCAATGTCATGCATGTCTAGTCCTTATTAGTGCAGATCAAGTGCTATCGATCATGTTGCAATGCGGCCACCACCCAGTGATCAATCAATTGTGATCACATCTCAGTCCTACAGGAGGTCGGTTGTGGCTTGGATAGCTCAGTGGTAACGTCTCTGATTGTGAAGCTGGGTGACACGAGATTGAATCCGCCAGGGAGCATCAGTTCTCTCAAGATTACAGGTACGCCTTGCTGACGAGTGCCAAGTAGCACGAAACCCGGTTCCAGGGTTTCCTGTCGACTACCTCCAACCACCATCTAACTATCCATCTTTGGTTAGAATGCTTGTGAATTATGGCAATATCAAGGCAATACGCACAGTATGCACATATTCCAATAAAATAATTGTGTGACATATATGTATTCGGTGCCCCTTTTTGTACCAATTGATTGATTGATTGTATGGTACAGTTAAAAGTACACCTTTATTTAGAAACATATCAATTTATAATAAACATAAAAGAATACTATTTACCCATTCTTGACCATATGAATCACTTAATGCATCTACAGCTCGTGAATCCCATTCTTTACGTATACCAACTAATCTACTTGGCCAAAAACCATTTTCAGCCATAATAACAAAATAAACAAAGAAACCACCAAGTGCTTGTATCATTCCAATTTGACCATAAGCCATAGCAATTAAACGTTCATTTACTAAACGATCATGTAATGGATCACGTGGCATACGTTTCATAATATCTGATTCAGCTTCTTCATAAGCTAATGAAATTGCTGGAATCTATAAGAAAAATATTTTTAAAAAAAAATACTGAATTGAATGTTGGATTATGGTTTCATTAATGTTGTAACTTGTGAACAGTGTCCCTATCACTGTGTAATGCAATGATACCGCTAATTAGAAAACAGTGATTTATCAAATGGGTTAACTACACCAAAACCCATATGAGCAGTCTAGAGTCTTTATCGGTCCTGCTTCCTGCCTATCCCTGCCTGCCTGTTCGAATCCAGAACATCAATCTCAACCTCTGCAATATGAATCATGTATTTCAACCATACTGGGTTTATATAGCAATCAAACAGACCATATCGTACGATAAAATAGAAAACAACATTTGTACAGGATTTAGCCAAATGTGACTGTAAATGTTGGAGATCGTAATTAATAGACAGGGCATAATTCAAGAATGGTAAATTGTATAATAACAGTTCATAGGTCAAAATAGAGCTTATAATAAGAGGAACATGAATGTGCATAGAACAGCTACTTAACAACTATGCAATATAAATATACGTATAGTATTTGTCCACAAATAGATCCCAGCAATTACCATTCATTATTCTCATCGGGATATAACAGTTAACTCATGGTATTACTAGGAAACTTTTTATATTAATTCTACATGGAAATTTTCAAAATGTAGTTCGTCAGTTGTTAGGCAACAATTATTGTATGATAGATTAATAGTTAAATGAAATCACATAAAGTAAACTGTAATCTAACCACTTTATATCATTTCCATAACTGTTATAGGTCAATATTATCTATATTAACTTCAATGGGTAAGACCATGTGTCAGTTGAAGCTAGACCACCATGGAAAACCTGGAAGCACTGGATGGCCGTTTCGTCCTACTGTGGGACTCCTCAGCAGTGCGCATCTATGACCTTGCCTCCTGCGAGACCTATAGCTCAATAGTTAGCGTTCAAATGATATATTGCAATTAACATATTTTACAATAATACTTTGATTAGACAACTACTGAAAATAAGAAAGCACTGAACAGTTATTTTATTCTAGTAGAGGGCTGTTTAGCAGTACATATCCAGTACTTGACCTTAAGTCGACCTCATAAACTCCAGGTATCTCAGTGAACACTTGATCTCCAGATAAATAAGTTATTACCCAACGGTTTATATTCTAAAGTCCAGTGAACTGCTGAAATTGCAAAAGTATCATTGATTGTCATTCATGATATTTGTTTCATATTTTTACATGGTTAGATCCCATTAATTAAAGCCTCTGAGTAAAACACCAAGATTTACCTGTCTAAGTTAGTCACTAGCAATTACGAGATGGTTGTTACTATCGAGCTTAAAGTTTCATATCATGAACTAACTTTAGCTAGAAAACAGTTGGAACTAACTGTCAGTTGGTGATCTGAGACTTCAAATTTGACTGTCGTGAATAGCTACAGATAAATAGTCTTATGCTAAGATGAAACAACTGTCAGTTGCATTTTGGTTATCAGTGATGATCAATTCGCCAATCTTACAGTATCCATTAAAACCCCATGGTCATTTAAAAGGAATCAATTATATATTTTCATGAAATAGAGAACATTACTTACCATATCAGTACCTAAATCAATACATAGAATTGTAATTGTACCTAATGGTAATGGTAAACCAAATCCAATATACACTAGAAATGGTGTAATCTCTGGTATATTCGATGTTAATGTATATGCAATGGATTTTTTCAAATTATCAAATATAAGACGACCTTCTTCAACTCCTGTAACAATTGAAGCAAAATTATCATCTAATAAAATCATATCCGCTGCTTGTTTACTCACATCACTACCGGCTATACCCATTGCAACACCTTGTGAACACAAAAAAAGGAATTCAAAGAAAGAAATAAGAAGTGAGCGATTTTTTTTCATATGTTTTGTTTATTATATTGAATGGAATGTGTTGGCTTAAGATTGAAATATCTGCAAATTAGATTTTTATGCTAACAGGTGAACTCAATGTGACAATGACACTGCTAATTATTAAGTAATATTAAAGAGGAAGAATGTAATTGAAGTAAATCCAACGTTTCGCCGGGTAATCTTACTTCCTAACTCACTTACTTAGAGCTATTACTCGCCAATGAAGCATAGGCCACTGACCAACATTCTCCAACCTACTCTGTCCTGGGTCTTCCTTTCTAGTCCTATCCAATTCTTGTTCATTCTTTTCATATCTGTTTCCATTTCTCGGAGTAATGTGTTATTTGGTTTTCCTCTCCTCCTTTGACCTTGAGGATTTCATGTGATGAGTGCTTGCGTTGTGACGCAGTTGGGTGCCTTCCTCAATATATATACTGTCTACTTCCAGGGATTATTTCTGATTTCTTCCTCAGCTGGAATGTCGTTTGTCTTTTTCTACAGTAGGTTGTTGTTGATAGTGTCTGGCCAACGGATCGGAAGTATTTTGCTCCTAGAGCCCCTCTTAAGCTGCTGTCGATCTTAAGCCCGGATAAAGGAGGAGGGTTGGGCATGGGGTTAGCGACCCCGTTTCGTAGAAAACTAACTCACTGAAACAACGCTAACCAGAAAAAATAATCCAAACCAAATTTGGATAGAACTAGAAAGGAAGGCCCAGGAGAGACTAGGTTGGAGAATGCTAGTCGTCGGCCTATACTCCGTTGGGAGTAACAGGCGTAAGTAAGTAATTAATGTGATCTTGATAATCAAGAAGCTTTTGTAAACCATACTAAGACTGTTGAAAAGATTTGTACGCATATTCGTCAATATTTAAACGAATAGTTTGACAGAAGTGGGGTACGGAATAGTGTTAAAAAATCGATAATAATTCAAAAAGGATAATCAAAGTGGAATTCATAATTTTATAAATTTATCTTCAAAGTTCCCAAAAAACATTGACTTAACAAAGTATTTTCAGTAATGTCTTGACTTTTGAAGACTTTCTCTGTGATGCATTCAGCGGAACTTCAATTTATGAACAAAACAATGAAATTATCAGTATAGATTTGTGGAGATGATTAAGTTTTTGATTAAGATCACGAATCAATTAAATGTTAGATCACCATGGAAAACCTGAAAGTACTGGATGGCCGTTTCGTCCTTATTATGGGATTCCTCAGCAGTGCGCATACATGATCCCGCCTGCGGGGTTCAAACACAGGACCTATCGTTCTTGCGTGCGAACGCTTAATTTCTAAATGACTGACCCTGCATCCAACAGTGTTGATGTTTAACCTCAACTAATCCACAAAATTACGCGACCACCTTCTATTGTACTGAGTTAGATACCTGTATTTACCTGATGTTAACAACTCTTGAATTTCAGCACGAAATTCATTAATTCATATAATTCAATAACATTTTGATATCCATTCATGTTGAATACCTCTATTCTAATGTTTAATTCTAAATTCTATCCCTAAATCTCAATGTTAATTTCTTTATACCAATTTATAAGCATCTTTTGATCCTAATAAATAAATAAATGAGCTGTCTTAACATCACTGTGCTTAAAACTAGTGCCTTCCTTAGACCACTCAGCCATTCCATCGACTTAACATCATTGTTATATCACATAATTACCGTCTATAAATTATGTTCATCATTAGTTACTAAGAAAGAGAGATAACATATTAATATACGTGCTATTTACTAATTGATGTTTAGTAAGATTAAGTATTATCACATAAAGTACTATTGACATCATCAACAACAACAACAGTAACCACAGCGACAACAGCAACAACACTAATCACTTACTTGTATGTATTAGGGTTAATGAACTATTCATCACATGTTTTGTATTATGTATTAATTATCATTAATAAAATAAAAAAACTCTTGTTTAGATAAAGTTTTAAGTTATTTTCTTTTCAACTTATACTACTTTAAATAAACAAATATTTAGCTGATTGAAATCATGAGTCAATTGAAACTAGACCACCATGGAAAACCTAGAAGCACTGGAAGTTAGACATTAACACCGTCGTATAACGGCTCAGTGGTCTAGTTGGTTAAGCACCTGGCGTGAGACTGATAGGTCCTGTGCTCGGATTCCGCGTGGTGCGGTGTCGTGGATGCGCGCTGCTGAGGAGCCCCATAATAGGACGAAACGGCCATCCAGTGCTTCTAGGTTTTCCATGGTGGTCTAGCTTCAATTGACTCATGATTCCAATCAGCGACATTTCTAAAATCTCCACAAAGACCCTTCTGATAAATATTTAGCTATCTATATTCTTAAATATAAATATACATTTTCATGGTTGTTTAAAATTCCGTAGGGAGGAATTCAAACATAGATCTTATTTATACCTGTTACTCCTGGTCGAAAAGTATAGGCACCGCCCATCAACACTCTACATCCAACCCTGTCATGGGCATTCCTTTCCATTTGTTATTTATCTTTTTTATATCTGCTTCTATTTCCTGACATAATGTGTTCTTTGGCCTTCCTCTTTTTTGTTTCCCTTCAAGATTCCAAATTAGAGCTTGCTTCATGATGCAGTTTGATGATTTGCGTAATGTATGTCCTATCCATTTCCATCGTCTTTTCCTAATTTCCTCTTCAGCAGGAAGCTGATTTGTTCTCTCCCACAGAAGGCCATTGTTGATGGTATCCGGCCAATGCATGTTGAGTATCATATGTAGACAACTTTTTATAAATACTTATACCTTCTTAGTGATGGTTGTAGTAATTCTCCACATTTCATTTCTATATAGTAGGACTTTCTTGACATTCGTATCAGAGATTCTCACTTTGATATTGGTTGAAAGTTATTTTGAGTTCCATATGTTCTTCAATTGTAAGAATGTGGCTCTTGCTTTGAAATCCTCATTTTCATATCTGCATCAGATCCTCCCTGTTCATCGATGATGCCTTCCAGGCAGGTGATAGACTCAACACCTTTCAGAGTCTGTCTATCATGTGTGGTCGGACTGGTGTTCTCCGTATTGTATTTGAGGATCTTGCTTTTTCTTTTGTGTATACTGAGGTCTACTGATGCAGAGGCTTTAGTTTTTTAAAATTATATTTATCGTGAATAGATTGAGCTGAAGAGGTTTAGTAGAGCTGGCTTTAATTTGTCGGTAGTATTTTTTTAATGATTAATCTCAGTTAATATGTTAATGCTTATCGGAAGACACGGGATAACTCTCCATAATAGTATGGGACTACTCAGCAGCATGCACAAGTAGATTCATCAAATATCGAATCTAGGAACTTCAGATCTTGCATTGAATGCCTAACCGATAGAACAAGTGGTTTAGCATCCAAAAACCAGTTTGCAATATAACAAGATAATCATCTAGTCCTATTGTTGCGATCTATTTGACTCCCAATATGCGTGAATTCCATTAGTCATGAATCCTGACTTGAACGTCAGGAAAATCTTGAAGTAATTTATTGGTGAGCTAACCATTTTTTATTCAGGGTTATATGGAGGTCGATTCAAATGATAAGTAATTTATCGTCACAGATTAATTTTACATAGGATGTTATTTAATACCAGGGAGTACTGGACTCTAGAACGAGACTCCTCACACTTATGAATACTTCCGCGTTAGCATTAAAAATATTCGGGTCTCGTTGTTAACGCTTACATGTTAGAATCGTTGAGTCAGAGTTCAATGGCATACGACCACATTCAATTAACTAACGATATATAGTGACGATTATTTCATCGAATAGTAACAGTTATTTCATTCCCAACATGCCTGTACTCTAATGGTTACGACTTTATTTTAGAACTAAAGGAATTCCTAAACATTAATCAGAAGTAGATCATTATAGTTTAGTTGGATGAGTATTGTAGAGTTTGGGTTGAAAATTGTTCAGTCTTGTCTGATTTTCTATGGTCACTTAGTCAACCAGTCAACTACAACTTAGGACCAGGTACATATATGGTACCTCAATAGAAATCAATAAACAATATAAATCTAAAAATATATGACATTCAGTGAAGCACTTCATCCAAATGTCATAACATCCAATCATAGCAGAACTGATGATAGTAATGATCCTTATACAAACCATAACAAAAATAACATTTTTTTACTATTCCGTGATCGCCTAATGTAAACATCTCAATCTCAGATTATGTCAGCTGTAATTTGAATAAATGAGTAATGATGTGGAAATAAGCCTTGCTAATAAGTGCTACTCAATGTAAAACGTACGTTCAAGGTTTCACATCAATAGCCTTGTGCCACATAACTTATAATAGAAATAATAATAATAACAACTGTTATTATTGTTACTACCATTATTATTACTATCATTAATGCAGTTTACATAACTGACGTTCCCAAAGATAAACTGTCAGGGTAATGCCTTTTATCATTTCATTTTGTCACTCATATTAATTGATTTCGACATTACTCTCTCTTCATTGGGTTGTCATCTGTAAGTGTATTTATTGTTATGTTTATAGCTACAATAGGTTTTAATCCGTCCAATCTATTCATCCGTTTGAGGAATTATAAAATTACTGAAATACATGGTTCTGAACTGAGCTCGGTGCAGCGTAACTTTCGAGCTAATGAACGACATAATTTCATCTGTTCAGCTTCAGAGGTGAACAAAGAATCTGTCTTTCTTCTTTACTTTATTGATTAAATACTTGACTAACATAAAATTTTGATTGATAACCGTATAAAACATTAAGTGAAATGCTGTTTAGCAGCTTTGTTTTAAATTAAACCTACACTTAACCTGTAGACTACTGAGCCAGTATACAGCAGTGTTAATGTCTAACTTCAGCCAATCTGAAATATTGCGCGACCGTCCACCATTGTCTTCAGTAGGTAACTGCTTCACAACAGACGTGATTAAACTCTATTAGTCACGGCTTCTCACTAGAATTCAAAAAATCCATCTTTAAGCTAGTCACTAGTGAGTACATGATAATAATCAGTACATGGTTGTGGATACTGTTGAGTTTAGATTGGTATCATGAATGAATTAATGTTATATCGTCACTGAAAACCTGGAAGCACTGAGCGGCCGTTTCGTTCTAGTATGAAACTCCCCAGGACGAAACAACATTTCGGTGCTTCCAAGTTTTCAATAGTGATGTAACATTGATCCATTCGTGATACTAATCTAAACGCAATAGTATCCACAACCCAATACTGATTAATGAATACTGTGGATTGTTGACTATATTGAATAATCTGCATCCACGATCCCTCAAGCAGGACTGAAACTCAGAACTTTTGGTTTCACGCGCTGAGGAGTCCCATATTCTGGGACGAAACGTCCATCCAATACTTTGAGCTTTTCAATGTTGGTCTAACATTGATTGATTCATGATCTCAATCGAATAGTTAACAATCTCCACAACGTCATACTGATAGTTTATTAATTCACTTTCACTTACCAATATCAGCTTGTTTTAAAGCTGGACTATCATTTACACCATCACCGGTTACAGCAACAATTGCACCTTGACGTTGACAACCTTCTACTATAATTAATTTTTGTTGTGGACTAGTACGTGCAAATACAATTTCTGGATGATTAACTAATATATCATCAATTTGTGCTGGAGTCATTTCACGTAAATCAGAACCATGTACAACACAAGCAACAGCTTCACGTGGATTCACCTATAAAATTAAAAGTAAAAATAAAAGTATTTACAAAAGACAGTGAACATTAGGTAAATTGATAATCAACGACTAAGGAAACGAGTGAGTTCTGTTATGATCTAAAGTGACATGAAAAACTATTGATGATCAGAGAGTATATAATAGATGGTTCACTTAATGTTCGTCAACGTGTGATGAAATCTGAACATTATCTTATGTGCACAATTGATTTATTTCGTAATTTATAAGTCTATCATCACATAAGATGATTGATCTGAGAATTTGAGGTTTGATCACGCATTTAATCATAAGTGTTTTTGCTATTTAGAAAATACACATATATTCAAAGCTATCAGTGATTCTTCCGTTTATGCTGGTTTATTTCTTAGTAATATTGTTGACAAAAGAATATTGCATAGATGACTAAAAAAGAATAATCGTTTCCTATTAGTGTTTTGTTCAACAACCTAACATCGTCATAAATAGAGTTATTTGTGCAAATATGATTAATATTGTTAAATAGGTCCCTTATCAAACCTAATTTGTATTGCGCTGGATAGTAACTATAATAACTGTGGTACTGACATGTTCGAGTTGACTTTCTAAAAATAAATCATTTGATTTGACGGTCTTCATATCTACTTATAAGTATATCTAATAAAGGAAGCTGGTAGTTCTTCTTCTCTTCACATGAAAGTCTGGTGAGGTTTTGAAGAGCCTTAGCACAAAGAAGCCTGTCTACATCATCTTAGTGTTCAGAAATAATTCAAATAACCTTTTACTGAAACAAAGGCTGAAATCAGTTGTTTTTTTTAGTGTTCAACTAAAGTACCCTAGCATGAATAGTGAATTCAAATGGGTTCGAGCCATGCGTGCGAGGTCGTGGGTTCGCACTGTTGAGGAGTCCCATACTAGGATGAAACGACTACCCAATACTTCCAGTTTTCAATGGTGGAGTAACATTTATCCATTCATGATATCAATCTGAACTCGACAATCTCCACAATCCTATACTGAAAAAGTAGAATAACATATTGATAATCATATGGTGTTAGGACAGTAAAATTTATCGTAGTAGAGATTGAGATTGATCGTGTAAAATATCAATAATTATCTGAAATTGGAAATATGAACCATTGACTACGAATTTACTGATTGTACAGTCAAGTCATCGCTACATGACGGGTCGACCGCCTCACTTATCTTGGAAGTCTCACCAGCCCTTGTGGTCTGGTGTGTGACGAAATCTCAGCACGGATACAGAAGGCTCGACTAGCTTTTGCCAACTTGCGTCATTTATGGCGTAGGCAAGATATCCGTCTATCAATCAAATGACGTGTTTACTGTGCAGCAGTTCGTTCCGTCCTACTTTATGGCATTAAAACATGCCCGATAAGAGTAGTGGATATTCGTAGGTTACTAGTATCTGACCATAGGTGTCTTCGAAACATTGCTCGTGTATCCTGCGACCATCGAGTAAGTAATGCATATGTGGGGAAACGGGTACTAGGTAAGGATGGCAAGTCCATTGATGAAGTGATGAAACTTAATCATTTGAGATGGTTGGGACACGTGTTACGTATGCTCAACCACCGACTGCCTCGATGTGCGACGTTTTGTTGTATAGGAGTAGATTGGAAGAAAGCTAGTGGCGGCCATAACAAAACGGCACAAATCCATGAAGTCAATGACAAGTGAACTGAGTCATGTTGGTAGGTGCAGACTACCTGGTTGGGAACGCGAGATGATAGCAACCGACGGTTAGAGACCCTGAGTGACATGGCTCAAAATCGTTTGCAATAACTCTGGTGCATCCACTCTTTGTGTTCTCCCTAATTATAATCTTCTGAATTCTTCGTGTCGTTTTTCTTTCTTCTATTTCCAAATTTATTTCACTGTATCATACTCCTTGAATAACATCTTCAAACTTCAATGTCGCCGATTACTGCTTATACTCTTACTACCTCTACCACTATGGAGTTTTAGTCGTAAACTGCATCTCTGTGCTGATGTAGTGTGGCAACTCGAACTGCTGTACATACGTATGAAGTTCTACGTTGTTACTTACTGACTGACTGACACGACTTAAATATAATGAGTTCAACCCTTAGCAAAATGTGTATGGTTACATGAGGCTCAGGAGTTTTATACAATGCGCATTGATAAACAACAACTGGATGCTATTAAACGTTTCATAAAAGGATTACGTAATTGCTTTTTAAAGTAAAAAAAAATGAGTACTTGTGTAATTTTTGTTTACTTAATTAAATCTATTCCACTTGTAAACAAACTTCAATTTATCTTATACAATATAAAAATGAATTAAATATGTCAATCTTAATTTACAATGGAAATACAAAAACACAATAATAACAACAAACGATTACGTAATATTTCATTCATTCATAACTATTTACAGTAGTGAATGAATTCATAAATAAAGTTACTTAAGTTATTTGATTGAGATCATGAACCGACTGATGTTAGACCACCTTTGGAAACCTGGAAGCATTGGGAGACCGTTTCATCTTATTGTGGGACTCCTAAGCAGTGCGCATCCACGATCCCGCTCGCGGGATTTGAACCCAGGGCCTTCGGTCTCGCGCGTGAACGCTTAACCTACTGGACCACTGAGCCGGCATCCAATGGTGATAGTGTCTAACATCAACCAACCAGGTTTCCAAAGCTGGTCAAAAACTTAATAATCTCCACAACCCCTATACTAGTTACCTAATTTATTTTATAAAAAATGTAACTAAATTACTGACTGATGATTTTTACTGAAACTATCTAAACTGTAATTTTATCCTTTGTGGACGTCTTCGATATTGTCTTAAGTCACAAGTTTTATAAGCAAAGATGAATGATGATTGGCAGTGGAATCCAGGACGCACGTTTCGTCCTATTTGGGACTTGTCAGCTGGATGTACCCACATCTCAGAGTTGATGATTACTTCAAGACTCTAATCCAACTCAGTTTGCTTCAAATGCCATCACTCTGGATTTAAGTCATACAGGGAATATCAACTTTGAGATGCAGGTACATCCTACTGATAATTGATTGTTGTTAATAGATAACAAACTAAGACTTAAATCTGTATCGACTCAAGTTGTCCCAATTCATGTCGTCGTATGAATAGAAAAAATCAACAGAATGAAAAAAATAGATAATGAGAGATAAAATCAAATCAAATTGGAAATGTAAAAGAAAGCAATCGTCCGGTCATCAGTAATGTAAATCTTTGTATCATATATGCATTAGTTCACGTGGATACATTGAATTATCACATTGAGATAAAATTATTAAAAGAAATTTCATAATAGAATTAGTAATGGTATTAATGATAGTGAAAATGTTTAGGTACAGAATGATGAAAATGTGTCTAAGAAGATTTCGGGATTCACGATCTGAGGAAAAACAACGAACGAATACACAACCATCCGACGTCTAAAACTATTGGTCATAATAATTATACTGAATACTATCAGGTAATCTACACTTACATACGTGTGAACAATAGTATGGGATTGCTCAAGAGCGCAGTAAGAGAATAATAGTGATTAAACTTGTGAATAAGTGATTAGAACTGAACCTTTTAACTTATTAAACTGGAGGTATAACACATCATAGACAGTATGACTCGGAGAGGAGGAATGAATTCTTTGAATAGAAGACATAATATAATTTAAAAATTGAAGATCTATGAGAAGACAAGGGGCAAAGTAATCTGCTCCATTGTGACCAACTCTGAGCTTTATCATATAATGTACTCAATCATCGCCTTTGACAATCGTACGGACCTGATAGACGTAGTCTTTAGATATCAATCCAGCCAATAACTTCCAACCACCATCTTACCTTACTAAAATCACAATAAATTTAAACGACAGATCTTATAACACACTAAAAGACCTCAATCAATAATCAGTGGATTTATGGTTCATTGCTGTGCCTGGTCCCGATCATATATTTCACAACATCTTCGATCAGCTTGGCTCCTGTTTGTAAAAACTCTAAAGCATTATTTTTACTATTCTTCTTTGTGGCATGATCCCAAACAATGTAGAATAATGAATGTTTACTATTTAGAAAATATTTGTTCACATAAACTTACTTGTTCAACAGGTATGCCTTTTTCAGCTGCAATATCCTCGACAGTTTTTGAACCTTTCGAAATTATCCCCACACCTTTAGCAATAGCTTTCGCTGTGATTGGATGATCACCAGTGACCATGATCACTTTAATCCCGGCGGATCGACATTTTGCAACTGCGTCTGGTACTGCTGCACGAGGTGGATCAATCATAGACATTAGACCAACAAAACGTAATCCACTAACTGGAAAATTTGGTTCTTCTTCATTGAATTTGAAATTCCTAAATAAAGCGATAAGCTTCAAAGTGTGAGCATAATTGAGTAGTGACCAAATTAATAGATACAAACTATGAAATTGCGAAAATCCCTATAAACCCCCTTAAAGTAGTGATGATCATATGATCACTGGTGATCAACTTCGAGAGTTGACTGTCAGACTTCTAATAAGAAGCTGATACTAGTGAAGTTTACTCGTGTCGGGTGTGAGTCAGTTGGAAAGTGGTTGTTCAATATCGTGAATCGATTATAATTAAAACAGTAGATCAATAGATGGTAACTCAGTGGTCTAATTCTGATTTACTCAATATGACATCTCAAAGGTACTGAGTTTTCCAGAGCGTTCTTGGATAGCTATTGCTAAAAGAGTCCCATCCAATGTTTCCTGTTTTTCAACGGTTCACTAGCTAAAATCAGCCTTTATTATAAACTATGAAGCAAATCTAAAAGTTGCAATCTTAAAAGGTTTCAAAAACTTCTATTCAATAACAAATGAATAAATATTACAACACCTTAACTACGATTATATGACAGTTTAGTTAGAGCTTCTCTACATTTTCATCAGTGTCAGTAGAGTAATAAGTCGAACAATCATTTAATCATATTAAGATGGTAAATATAGTTTTTAAAATCTAATTCCTGATTGTCCACAGAATATTAGCTGAAAAGAGATGTAAGATTAACAGATTAGTATTTTAATTGTGATCGTGAGCCGATCAATGATAGACTATTATTGAAAATCTAGAAGTACTCGACGGCCGGTTCTTCCTAGTGTGAGACTCCGCAACAGTGCACATTGACCAGTTTACGATCTTAATTAAACCTCAACAATCTCTAAAACCCTATATGGATTAATATACTCGTAAGCTACTAGTATTTGACCACAGATGCCTTAGAAATATTGCCAGAATCTGTTGCAATCATCGGGCAAGTAATAGTGAGGTTAGACTTAGGGTATTAGAGAATGATGATGGTAAATCAGTTGATGAGGTTGTGAATCTTCATCGACCGAGGTGGTTGGGTCACATATTTCGCATGCTTGAACACCGGTTACCGCGGCGCACAATTCCGACTAGTGTTGGAGATGATTGGAAGAAAGTTAGGGGCGGCCAAATTAAAACGTGGCATCAATACTTGAAGTCACTAAATTCTGGTGTAAGCCATGTTGGTAGATGCAGACTAGTTGGTTGGGGTCCGTGGTGACTATCGTAACTAATGGTTAGAGACTGTGGGTGACATGGCTCAGAATATATCACAATGGCTTGAGCGTGTGTACACACTCTTTGTCTTCCCTTAAACTGTGAGATTTGAATTGCTTTATACCTTTCTTTCTATAGACTAATTCTTTCTTCCTGTACTATATCCTTATACACAATCTTTATTACTATCATTGAAGTAACTAGTTCTATGACTTTGGTGTTCATGTTGTTGTGTTAATGCGGTATGGCAACTTGGACAGATGCATATATGTGCCCGGTCTTACGTTGTAGCTGACTGACTGACTGACTGACTGGATTAATATTTATTTAATATCTTAACATGATTAGACATTTATTTCACATACATAGTTCTTTCAAGAATATGTAAATATTCAGCAACTTCCATATATTTTTTCCTTATGGAAGCTGTAATTAGACTGACGATTCAAACAAAAGGATTAATTGTAATTCCTTTTGACAAGACTTTTTGATAAGGATAAATTACTTCTAAAATTCAGAATAGGTGGTTTGAGGCCAGCAGTGCATACCAGGACACATATTTGATGTTATATGGGACTCATCATTTGGTTGATGTTAACATTTAGTTTTAGGTACACGTAGATGATAAGTCCTATATTCCACTAGAAGCTATAAGCCATCTACTCACATGATTTGTGACAGAGCGGCTATATCGACACAATCTACATTAGATGTACGTATACCGAAAGAAACTGACCAATACTCAGTATTAGGTATCAATAACAACATATATGAAAGCTTTACTAATAATGATATAATTCTTTCGTATTGCTCATTTCAAGACTGAAATATAGGTGTGAATAGCACAATGTTAGCATCACCGACTATAGTGATGAATGATACAGTTATAAACTCGACGGCAAAAATCAGTACGTTGATGGATGGAGGTATTGCCTTACTGATGTGTGATGAAAAACACAAAATTAAGATACCTATCTACTATCTCTCGGATGTCTATTTATTTGAATAAGTGATACAATTGCTAGGTGGATAAACAGAACTTACCCACCACTTAACATTAGACAATATTGTATAAGGAGTTTCCCAATGTAGTTCATTTATTCAATTTAGATTATTTTATTTGATCCAGAACTATACAGTCTGTATAAGGGCTGATGATAACATCCAATCGATTTTGAAATGAACATTTCTTCTTTGTAAAAATTCCACTTTATATTGAAACTAATAAGCCAACACAAGTCATTGGAGACTATATAAACTGTTTATTTAACCGGTTACAATCTAACAAATTAACTCAATATTCATATAATCATTACTCACTTTGGATAAGTTTTAGCTGGTAAACGATAATCACAGAATCCAAGTACTCGTTCACCCATTCCACCTAATTTCATGTAGGATTTATTGAATCGTTCACGCATTTCATCATTTAGAGGTTTTTCTTTACCATTAAGTAGAATAGTACTACAACGGTCAATAATACGTTCAGGTGCACCTTTCATAACCAGCAAGTAACGTTCATCGTTGTCGTCAGTTTCATGAATTGACAACTAAATATGAATTTATGATGATCAGAAAATAGATTTATCCAATAAAACAGTAAGAAATTAAACTATAAAGCTTTTCTCTTGTTAATCCAGTAAGTACTAGAACAATAAATGTAAGAAAACGTACTATAGATTTTAAAGTAAAGGAATACTATCCACTTGTGACAATTCTCCTATAGTGAATGAGAACACAATTGGGGACAACCAAATGTATTCAAATACAGAATCATGAAATTTCTTAGTAAAATCTGAAAGCCATACAGTAGATACTTCATTTGGTCTCAAATTTGTTCCATCATTTCCATTTCAATCGCTCTTTGTTCTCGTTCTCTTCTCTTCTACTTCCAGACATTCCACTTATATCTGTCAACATCATTAGCGCATACCACACTTCTATCTTTATTCTGCTTCCGATGTTTATAATAGTCTTGGAAGCACTTCGTTGGAACAAATGATTGCTACCATGGAAAGCAAACGAACATTTCTCATTACCACAGTTAAGAATGTTAGAGCTTATTTATTGGCTTTATGATTGACCTCCGACAAGAGTAAAGTATTTACATTAATCCCATACCGAATAACAAACAATGTTAAGATAGAATTATCACATTGTCAGTTGCAAATGTAAAGCTTCTTACTTATAACTTACAGTTATTTACACTTTAAATCTAATGGGTATGATATGCATTCACTTAGACTAATTGACATAATTCTACTAAAAAGGGAGAGTTCAGTACAAAATTTTTTCTGTACAATTTGTATTTTATTCAAAGGTATCTATAAGAAACCCCTAAATGCCGTGGTACGATCGAGAATGGGTAGAGTGAACTCTCCCTCTCCAAACGCTCTCACATGTCCACGTGCATACAACCACTGCCAGAGTATTACAACTCTCTGCCTTCTCGCATCATATGCGTTTTTTATGAAATTGAAAGAATGAAATATGAATGTCTGGCGCTTTAACCGGATTGGTGGACACAGAGAGTCCACCTAGGAAAGTTGGTAAACCCTCATTCCAAAACAATGGTGTACATGGGCTACAGGATCCTGAATAAACAAATGGCGTATGAAGCAATCGTTGGACACCGGCAACCATGGGACTACATCTCCTAACATTGCTCCATTGCCTTGTGGATCGGACTTTTAGGTCGAAGGCTCAGGGTGTGGCCTCTTAAGAAAACCACCTGCATCGGTTTGAGCACCCGTGTAGTATCATAGCCAAGACATAAATTAACTGACTTGTGTGGCACAGGTATATTCGGTGCCCCTTCGTACCAGTATGTATATGTTCAGATAATAATAATAATACTTCAAATGTATCAAACAAAAAAGAAACATTGTTTACTTGATATTTATTTGTAGAATTAAATGGAATTTCCAAAATTTTACGATTTTTAGCTCTATATTCAATAACTTTACCAACACATAATTCAGTACATTTTAATATAGCTGTCTCTGAAGCATCACCATTACATTCACGTTTTAAAACTGGTTTATTTTCTTCACCAGTTTTAAATTCAGCACGATTACATAACATTGCAATACGTGCTAAAGCTGTCCATGTTGGTGAACTTTTATTAAAACGTGCACCTATAAATTACAAAAATTAAAGATGAATTGAATTTGCAAAAAAGATTTCAAGTTCTTCCATGATTGATATATTTGATTAATCTTGGTTAACATATGACTATCCGATAGGGAATTGTCTCGATATAGTTATTGTGTCTTATGCTTGATAAACTGTAACTAGCAATGTAATCAAGGATATGTGTTTAGTCTCATTATTTTAGACTAATCGGGTGAGTGAATGTCTTCTTCTGCTGAAGAGACCTAAATAGAATGTAAAGCATCTCATGAACTCCACTGCTTGTCACAATCTATCTCTTTTTTCTAAACGGGAGTTAATACTTTGATTGTTTTAACTAGATATAAGTTATACAAATTTTCAGTTAAGTAAATTCTTTCTAGTCGGAAGGTATTCTACGAATTTTAGATTAGTTTGGAGGGTTTATGAAGATTATTTAATTTTTTTTTCATTTATACATAATCTAATTGGATGCTGACTTATTGATCTGAAGACAAAGCATTGATTACGAGACCGAAATGTCTTGGGTTCAGTTCTTTGGTGAGTTTGTTAATGCTTATAGCCTCTGCCAAGGAAGTCCTACTCACTGCCTTCTCGTGGAAGAGGTGTTGTTTACGAAATTGAGAGGACGAAAAGCGAATGTCCGGCGCTTTAACCGGATTCCAAACCAATGGTGCACATGGGCTCCAGTATCCTGAAGGAACAAATGGCGTATGAACCGATTGTTGGTCACCGGCCTCAATGGGACTGCATCTCCTTACGATGCTCCATTGCCTTGTGCATCAGACCTTCAGGTCGAAGGCTCGGGGAGTGGCTCCCTAAGAAAACCGCCTGCTTCGGTTTAGGCACCCGAGCAGTATCAAAGCCCTCACACACATCAAGTGAGATCTATGTGGCGCATATGTAATTGGTGCCTCCTTGCACCAATATCTATGTGTTAAAATAAATAAATAAATAAATTGTTAATGCTTGATTGCTGAAATATATAGTGTATGGAAAACCTGTTCAGTGCTTTCTATTTCTTAACAGTCGTTCAACTAAGGTCAGTCAGTGAAAGTGAAACGTTAAATAAAAAGCTGTACCTAAAAAACGGGGGGGGCGGAAGGGTGATAGGCAATGTAATATTACCTGTTTGATTCTCTGTAGTATCCGCATCAAATATTTTATTGTCAAACCACATATGTGCTACAGTCATACGATTTTGTGTTAATGTACCAGTTTTATCTGAACAAATGGTACTTGTTGATCCAAGTGTTTCAACAGCTTCTAAATTTTTCACTAAACAATTTTTACTAGCCATACGTTTAGCGGTTAATGTTAAACATACCTAAAAGGTAAGATAATAATGAATTTTGTATATTATATACTGATTAGTATCTATAAGGAAATGATTCGATGACAAACGTGTTATAGTCTATAAAGAAGGAAAGGTTAAAACTGTTGTTTATATCGTAAAATGCTTAAAACAATTGACTTATAGGCATATGTTCGGCTTACTTTGAATAAAAGTATACTAGTAAGGAATAATTCTTATAAATTTCACAGATTGAAATCATGAGTCAATTGAAGCTAGACCACCATGGAAAACCTGGAGGCACTGGACGGCCGTTTCGTCCTAGCATGGGACTCCTCAGCAGTGCGCATCCACGATCCCGCACCCCGCAAGATTCGAACCCAGGACCTATCAGTCTCGCGCCAGGCGCTTAACCAACTAGACCCCTGAGCCGGCATCCAATAGTGTTAATGTCTAACTTCAACCAATCCACGAAGTTGCGCCACCGTATACCATTGTAGATGTGCACTGCTGAGGAGTCTCACACTAGGACGAAACGGACGTCCAATGCTTCCAGGTTTTCCATGGTGGTTTAACTTCAGTTGACTCATGATTTCAATCTGTGAAATTTCTAAAATCTCAACAAACCCCTTCTGATAATAATTCTTATAGTTAAGAATGCAGCACAAACATCTTCATGAAAGTTCTTATCACTTTCTGGCATAATTCAAACCAGTAGTCAATGATTTTATAGACTGACATGTTTTCAACTGATTACCCCTTGAGTTTTGTCAATCAACTCCTATATCAGCTAGTCTGACTAAGATATGACAACATTTAATTAAATGAATAATTGTTAGTATGAACCTTTTAGGAAAGTGATGAAGATCAAATTGAAATTTGTAGTATCTTTGTAATTTATTGCTGGAAAACTTCAGTGGCATGTATTTCAAATGTTATCTATTGTTCATTTTGTTTAAATGAATAACATTCCGTGAGGCGATAGCAACCGATGGTTAATGACCTTGAATGACATGGCTCAAAGTCGTTTGCATTGGCGCAGGTGCATCCAAATTCTAATCTTCTGAATTCATGTCCCCTATTGTTTCTCTTTCCGAATTTATTTCACTGGATTATACTCCTTGAATAACATCTTCAAACCATAATCTTTCCGATTACTACTTATATTTTTACTACCTCTACCACTATGGGATTTGAAACGACAATTGTATCTCTGTGCTAATGTGGCATGGCAACTTGAACTGAACGTACGAAGTTCTGTGTTGTTGCTAACTGACTGATATAAATTGTTACGGTTCAAAGATATCGAATAATTCAGGAAATATGATCTCTAATAATAAGGTAGTTTACGAAGATAATTGAATCATGTAGGTTACATTACAAAGTGATCTTAGTTAAATGACCATTAAACACCAGAAATCAATAAAAACTGTTTGTTCTTCTATGAGACTCCTCAGCATTGGACACAGATAACTCCTATAGGCAGTTAAACTCAGAGCCAAGAGTTCATCAGTGTCGATTATAAGGCGGTAACTTGCCAATCGAATTAAAAGATAGTTTTCGGCCATCACAAATTGACTGAAATTAAACACATAAACAATTAAATTCCAGCTCAGTGGTCTAAATCTTAAGCTGTCGTCGCAAAGTATTAAGGTCCTGAGTTCAGATGTGAATATCCACTGTTGACGTACTCACTTACTTTCGCCTCTTACTCTCAATGGAGCATAGGCCATTGAACAGCATTCTCCAACCCACTCTGTCCTCGGACTTCCTTTCTACTTATATCCAATTCATGTTCATTCTTCTCATGTATGTCTCCATTTCTCAGCGCAATGTGTCCTTTGGTCTTCCTCTTCTTCTCTGCACTTAAGGATTCCATGTGATGAGTGCTTGCGTTGTGACGCAGTTGGGTGCATTCTTCAATGTGTGTCTTATTCACTTCCAGAACTTCTTCGTGATTTCTTCCTGCAATCGAATCTGGTTTGTTCTCTCCCACAGTAGGCTGTTGCCGATAGCGTCTTGTTAACCGATCCGAAGTATTTTGCGTCGACAACTGATAATGAACACTTGTATGTTGTGGATGATGACTTTCGTAGTTCTGCAAGATTCCGTCCCATACAGTAGACTTGTCTTGATATTTGTATTGAAGATTTTGACCTTGGTATTAGTTGACAGACAGTTGTTTTGATTTCCATATGTTCCCCAATTGTAGATGTGCTGTTCTTGCTTTGCTGATCCGTGACTTCACATGTACCTCAGATCAACCGTGTTCATCAATGATGCTGCCAAAATATGTAATAGTTTTTAGATCTTCCAAATCTTGCCGATTGGTGCATACTACTTTGTATCGGAGAAGCCCACTGTTGGGGAGTCCCATAATTGAATAAAACAACTATTCCATACTTCCTAGTATTGATTTGTTCTCTACTAAAACCTAAGATCTTCAACGTTTTAATTCGGAAATACTAATAATTTCTATTATGAAACCAAGAAGAAAAACAGAATAACACTTGAGTGAAATTTAAAAAAATAAATCAATAAACACATACTGTAACCGTGGCTAATAGACCTTCTGGAACATTAGCTACAATAATACCAATTAAGAAGATAACAGCTTCAAGCCAACGATAACCCAATATAAAAGCAATAATAAAGAATGTTACACCAAGAACCATTGCAACAGCTGTAATTAAATGAATAAAATGATTTATTTCTTTATGTATTGGAGTTTCGCCAAGTTCTAAACCAGATGCTAAATTTGCAATACGACCCATAACAGTACGATCACCTGTACTGATAACAATACCACGGCATGTACCTAAACATTAAAGTAATATGTACATATATATATATTATTATTATTATATAAATAATCACTAATTTAAGAGTGAAATGGTATTATAATTAGACATTCCTAACTAATTGTTAAACTATCATTTCAATGTTCTGTAAAAATGTATTGATGAAACTAAAACATTCAGTGAAATTCGACAATCAATTCCATAACCGCATACTGATAATTATCATGTACCCGCTAGTGATTAGAGTTGAGAGAGAATTTTCAGAGTTCCAATGAGAAACTGTGACTAGTGGAACTAATCGATATGGAGTGTGAGACAGTTACCTATGAAAGACAATGAAAGATGGTCAAACAATGTCGTGAATCGATTAAAGCTAGATATTAACAGTGTTGGAAATTGGCTCGCACTCGCGCGCGAGATCATAGGTCCTAGGTCTTATTCCTTCATGTGGGATTACGGATGTGCACTACCGAGAAGTCTGATACTAGAGCAAATGGCCGTCCATAATATTGTAGGTGTAAGAAATGAGTTATTCAATTAACTTCAAGTATGATAAGTATATCATAATAAATATAAATAACTTACCATCAACAGCGTTAGTTGAGAAAAAGGCTAAATTTCTTGTTTCTAATGGATTTTCATTAGAAAACTCTGTTGTACGTGATTGAGGCTCTGATTCACCAGTCAATGCTGAATTATCTACCTAAGAAAATAATTTAAAAAAAAAAATGATTCGACGGTCATATTTGATTAATTTTAACAGTTTGTTAAATATGGTTACTACAGAATTGAAGTATAAATTACTTGGACTAGTCACCTCTTCTTATACACACCAATCAATTCAATTGCTTTTGTGGAGCAATTCGCATTGGTAGATGTTCTAAGAGTTTTCATTTTCTTGTTCATGAATAACCCTCCCCCCCCCCAGTGTAATTGTGTAAAGGTATTGTTTCAATCTATAACAATTCAGTTTTAGATTGAGATCATGAATCGATTGATGTTAGACCATCACAATTGAAAACCTGGAAGCACTGGACGGCCGTTTCGTCCTATTGTGGGACTCCTCAGCAGTGCGCATCCACTTCATTTAATTCAAACTGATCATATATGTATCCTATGAACAGTTATCTACCTAAATATGTCAAAATAAGAACCTTTTGAAGGGGTGAAGTAATATCCATTCGAATTGAAAAAAAATTGGAGCTTTGTATCCAAGAGAAAGATGTTTAACAGCGTTTGTTTTTACCGTGACTACAAACCTGGTATAATTATTTAAAAATCATTTGAATTATATGATGAAAAAAAATATTATGACGATACTTACAGCTGCCCTCCCCCTCTATGTTTTTTTCTAAGTTTCAATTTATTGTAATCATGTATCTTAGTACCCACTGTTATTTACAGGATAGAATACATGCCCCCTAAATTTGTAGATTATCTTTCTTTCATTGTTCAATAGTTTTACAATATTCAGAATGTTGTTTCCAATCGTTTAGTTAATGAATGTCATATATAGAAGGATATTTTTGATTGGGAGATTTGATTTCAATCTTTAACTATCAAATTTCTTTTGTTTGTTTCATTTAACAATTTTCAGTATTGAGTTATGAAGGTTGTTGTATTTCATTGAAATCATGAATTGATCTAAGTTAGACTAATACTGAAAATCTAGAAGGATTAAATAGTCGTTTTGTCCTAGTATGAGACTCCTCGACATTGTCTATCCACGACCCTTCATATTGGACTTAAACCTAACACCATCATAAATTTATTGATCCTGAAAATTTGCTTATCTAGTTTATTTAGCATTGATTTTTAATAATGTTCTTTTGGATTAACTTGAGTTAGTAAAATAAACAGATGATATGAGAATCCAGGATATCAAAATCGAAGAAAACATTTCGGAGTATGGGGTTATGGAGGTTATCAAGTTTTTGATTGAGATCATAAAACGATGGATGTTAGATTACCATTGAAAACCTGGAAGTACTGGACAGCCGTTTCATCCTGTTTTGGGACTCCTCAGCAGTGCGCATCCAAGATCCCACTCGCGATATTCGAACTTAGGGCCTTTGGTCTCTTACGCGAACGTCTAACCTCTAGACTATTGGGTTGTCATCCAACGATGTTAATGTCCAATGTCAACCAATCCATGGAATTGCGTGACCATTTTCTATTGTATTGAGTTAGATACCTGTCTCTACCCGGCAAAGATTAGCTCCACTGGTCGCAGCTTCTCAGTAGAACTCTGAGAATTCCCACACGAAGCTAGTCACTAGTGAGAACATGATAATTATCAGTATGAGGTTGTGGAGATTATTAAGTTTTTTTTTGTGATTGAGATTATGAACCGGTTAAGGTTATAAATGAATTAACATTTGAGAACTAATCTATAAATCAGACTGTTAACTCATCTGATTTATCACATATATTAGTCATATAGAGACATTATTACATAGTTGTATTATTCAAAACGATTAAATCCTAACTGATACAGTTGCCTTTGTGTTTATCGTTAAATTTTCTAATCAAAATGGATGGAAGCCGTGACCAATGGAGCTAACCCGTGTCGGGGAGAGACAGGTATTTCGTGGATTGGTTGAGGTTAGACATTAACACCATTGGATGCCGGCTCAGTGGTCTAGAGGTTAAGCGTTCACGCGCTAGACCGAAAGCCCTGTGTTCGGGATCGTGGATGCGCACTGCTGAGCAGTCCCACAATAGGATGAAATGGCCATCCAGTCCTTCCAGGTTTTCCATAGTGATCTAACATCCATCGGTTCATGATCTTAATCAAAGTGAATTCGATACATTTACTTACTTTAAATGAACTTGCAGTAATAATTCTTATATCAGCTGGAATACGATCACCAAATTTCACTTCAACTATATCACCAACAACTATACTTTCTGCTGGTACTTCAGTTTTTAAACCATCTCGTATAACAAGTGCAGTCTGAAAGTTTTTTGTATCACATTACATAATGATAAAATAACAAATGAGAAAAGGAAAGTGTTATTATTACTGAAAATACTGAATATAAATATTATGTCAAGTGATTTTATATTTTACAACCTCCTAAAGAAATGAGTACAGATGATAAATTTAACTAACTTCCATAAAATGTTTTTGAACTAAAACCATGATTATCATTCCACTGGTTACTTACTTCATGGTGTTCTAGTGAGATCTCATGACTATTAGATTTCAGAAATGTTATTAATCAAACAGTTTTTACCTACGGGAGTAGATAATTATCGTACCATACTGTAAATTGGTTGAAGCTGGTATCATACTAATGGACAATGACCCAGTGGTTTTAGTGGTTGAAACTTGAAGTTGCGGGATTCGATGCTTAGTGGAGTTGTGGGTGTACATTACTGAATAGTCCTATACTGTTACTGGACAGATTCTTAGTATCCTTTAGTTTAAACTGATTCCTTAACTGAAGTCAACCTGTAGTAAATACAGCTCGTAAATTAAATCAGTCTTTACAAAACCTCTTTCGGTTAGAAGTCGTTAACATACTTGATTTAATTCTTACTGTTGTATGTCATCATTTTTGTCTGAAATTGTAATGGCTTGTAATTACTTTCATATTAGTACATCGATCATTCATTAAACGACGACGAGCATCATGTTCGAGATGATGGAGAAGATTTGTAGCTCAGGTGGATGATTTTGGTGAAGTAGACTACTGCTTGAATTTTGTGCAGATGATAGAGTTCAGATGAAAGCTTCACGACTAAACCATCCAGTTCAGAGAACAAAATTTCACCAAAAGGCATCATGTTTGCCTAGTTTTCAATGATAATTGACAGAAACCTATCGATCATGTTTAAATGATTCGACATTACATGCAATATATTTTACTGCTAATTTGCCACCTAAATATTTTAGTGGTAGCTTACTGGACTGTGAATCTAAGTAACGAATATTTAAATACCATAATGTTCATAAGTTAATTGAAGATTGTACGTTTTGTGAATCACTTACTTACTTACGCCTGTTACTCCTCGTGAAGGAGCATAGGCCGCTCACCAGCATTCTCCATCCAACCCTGTCCTGGGCAATCCTTTCTAGCTCCGTCCAGTTCCTATTCATCCTTTTCATATCTGCTTCTATTATCCGACGTAATGTGTTCTTTGGCCTTCCTCTTTTTCGCTTCGCTTCAGAATTCCAAGTTAGGGCTTGCCTCATGATGCAGTTTGACGATTTGCGTAATGTATGTCCTATCCATTTCCATCGTCTTTTAATAATTTCTTCTTCAGCTGGAAGTTGGTTTGTTCTCTCCCACAGAAGGCTATTTCTGATGGTATCCGGCCAATGGATGTTGAGTATCTTGCGTAGACAGCTATTTATAAATACTTGTACTTTCTTGATTGTGGTTGTTGTAGTTCTCCAAGTTTCAACTCCATACAGTAGAACTGCCTTGACGTTGGTATTGAAGATTCTCACTTTGATATTGTTTGACAGTTGTTTTGAGTCCTATATGTTCTTCAATTGTAGGAATGCGACCCTTGCTTTGTGAATCAGTACCAACTAAAATCAAACCCAGATTCAGAGTTTCCTAACTAGCCTCTAAGTAGTATATACATTCTTCGTTAAACGAAAAATCATCTCGACTTTACTACAGACAGTGTAAGTATTTCAAGGTTAGGTCGGCTATTTATTACTAAGTAGAGATTCGTTAGAAGCTCACGTACAATAGTTAATATGGTTCGCGAATTGTGTAGATAGGTTGGAAAAACGTTCGGATAGCTTTGTTTTGTATTTAGATAGAGAAGGAGAGAAATTCACCTGCAATACTCTTTATTTATCAATTTGAGTTCAGAAAACTCTGTATTTAGTCAGTCATCATCGAAACACAACTAGATTGTCGGTATACTCTAAATCAATAAAGAAGTCTCTAGGTAGAAAGTCGTTCTTGCATGATCAGTAGGTGAAATTCCTACCTCTAAAAAATATTTTTAACGAAAACAAACTAAGTTTTTAAAGTAAGAAAACCTAATGAACATCACTTGGCAAATAAAAGTTCATAGTTGAGTTCATGAGTCAGTTAAAGCTGGACCACCATGGAAGACCTGGGAACACTGGACGGCCATTTCGTCCTAGTATGGTACTACTCAGCAGTGTGCACTCACGATCTCGTACGCGGGATTTGAACCCAGGAGCTTCGGTCTCGCGCGCAAGTGCTTAACCTCTAGACCACTGAGACCGCATCCAACGGTGTTAAAGTCTAACTTCAATCAATTCACGAAATTACAACACCGTCCACCATTGTCTTCTGTGAATAACTACCTCACAACAGACCCGGTTGAACTACACTGGTCACAGCGAGACCGAAGGTCCTGGGTTCGAATAACATGAGCGGGATCGTGGGTAAGCACTGCTGACACGAATAATCATTATCAGATTGTATTATAAAATTGAATCATCTATTTCTGATTTTTGGAATGGTATAATGGTTTGATTTCATCGATATTTTTTTTTACAGATTTTTCAATACAAATGTCAAAACAGTTCTACTGTATGGGACGGAATCTTGCAGAACTACGAAAGTCATCATCCAGAACATACAAGTGTTCATTATCAGTTGTCGACGCAAAATACTTCGGATCGGTTAGCAAGACTCTATCGGCAACAGCCTACTGTGGGAGTGAACAAACCAGATTCGATTGCAGGAAGAAATCAGGAAGAAGCGCTGGAAATGGATAGGATACACGTTGAGGAAAGCACCCAACTGCGTCACAACGCAAGCACTCATCACATGGAATCCTTAAGTGCAGAGAAGAAGCGGAAGACCAAAGGACACATTACGCTGAGAAATGGAGACATACATGAGAAGAATGAACATGAATTGGATATAAGTAGAAAGGAAGTCCGAGGACAGAGTGGGTTGAAGAATGCCATTCGGTGGCCTATGCTCCATTGAGAGTAACAGGCGTAGGTAAGTTGTAAGTAATATTTTCTTTGAATACAAGTGAATATTCATTTGTTGTGTTTAACTGTTCTCATAGATTAGTTTAACTTAGTGTTTTTTTCACCACTCGAAATCAATAGAACAAAGTGATTTAGCATTATTTCAATGGTGTTTAACGATGATTTACTTTAATTGATAAATTTAATTAGACAAGTGTTACAAAAGTGTTTAGTTTTATTATACGTAGCTATTTGATCCTTTGTACCAGATTCCTTGTCAATGTGTATATACGACTATATCATGAGTTGAAATCTGACTTTCAGGCCTTAAAATGATTACTCAACTTTAAAAAAACACACTACATTTACATCGAGTAGCCCATGAGTTAATTTGTGATACTGGACAATTATAATAAATTAACATAAGTAGTGTTTATTTCACCAGTAATATGGTCAAGTTTTCATTGCTCATTACTTTTTAACCAGTGGTCTGTTTGACACTTTATTCTATGATCTCTAATGATTTATATTTAATAATTTTGTACAGAATTAAAATGTAGCCTTATTAACAATTAAATCATTCATTTCATAGAATACAACATAATTATCATCTAAATGCCGTGGTGCGGCCGAGAGTGGGGAGAGTCAGCTCTCCCTAGCAAATGACCATGTGTATACAACCACTGTCAGAGAAGTTCTACTCACTGACTTCTCGCACCACGTATATTGTTTACGAAATTGAGAGGATGAAAAGCGAATATCCACTGCTTTAACCCGATCGGTGGACATGGAGAGTTTACCTAGGGTAGTTGGAAAACCCTTATTACAAACCAATGTTGTACATGAGCTCCAGTATTCTGAAGGAATAAATAGCATATGAACCAATCGTTGATCACCGGCTATCATGGGACTGCATCTCCTTACGTCGCTCCACTGCCTTATGGATCAGACCTTTAGGTCAAAGGCTCCGGATGTGGTCCCCTATGTAAACCACCTGTTTCGGTTTACGTACACAGACAGTATCCAAGCCCACACAAATCGCATGATTTATGTGACGTATATCTATTTTGTGCCTTCTTGTAACAATATTTATATAATGAAATAAATAAACTTTCTTACTTGTGGAACTAAATTTTTAAATGAATCCATAATACGCGATGATTTTGATTCTTGATAATATGAAAAACATCCAGTAATAACAACAACAGCGAGTAAAACAATACCAAGATACAACTAAAAGAAATAATAATAAAAAGAATATTAAATTTAAAAAAGCAAATTATTATTATTATTATTAGTAGTAGTAGTAGTAGTAGGAGGAGGAGGAGGAGGAGGAGGAGAAGGAGGAGGAGGAGGAGAAGGAGGAGGAGGAGGAGGAGGAGGAGAAGGAGGAGGAGGAAAAGTAATGAGAATATGTGAATAATTCCAGAAAGAATAATTGGGAATATTTAGTTCTTTACATTCTTATCTTCAGTAAACTCATAATATTACATAATTATTATGTGTTGTCATTTATGATAGATATATTTTTTCTTATTTCCGATATGTATGAACTCTATTGGTCATGTCTTCACAGTAGAACTCAAGGAATCATGTTACAAAATTAGTAACCAGTGAATATATGATTACTATTAGTGAGAAGGAGTTTATAGAAATTATTGATATTCATAGTTTACATAAAGAACTGAGATTTAATTAGATAATCTGATCAAGTTGTAAATCAATCAGTAACAACGTAGAATTTCGTACGTACGTACATCAGTTCGAGTTGCCACACTACATTAGCACAGAGATGCAGTGGTCGATTCAAATCCCGTAGTGGTATAGGCGGTAAGAGTATAAGCAGTAATCGGAAACATTAAAGTTTGAAGATGTTATTTAAAGAATATAATTCAGTGAAATAAATTTGGAAAGTAAAAAGAGAGACAAGGAGGATTCAGGAGATTAGAATTTGGGAGAACACAAAGATTGGATGCACCTACGTCATTGCAAACGATTTTTAGCAGTGTCACTCAGGGTTTCTAACCATCGGTTGTAAATAAACATCAATGATGGATCTTATCTAAGGACAAACCCGACCGAAGCTGCTACCTTGATGCGGTGGTCGGGCTTGCCTATCGTGATGACTTAACCGAGCTATATTGGCTGGAACATATGTTGCTGTAGGTTTTACCATGCCATGCAGGTCGATTGGAGAACGATAAGACTAAAAGCAGCAACCTAAGGTCTGAGGGCGAAGTCGTACTTCTGACTGTAAAGAGGTGTGACAGCAGTAAGGTGTTTCCCTCGGACAACCAGCATGACAGCGATGCTGCCTTCCCATAAGGAGGGGTGGGGTTAGAAAAAGTCGACCCTAAAAATGTCACACCTCATCTTACCTCACGGATTTCCGTCTCCGGCGGTAAGGCCCTTTGAAGAACGGAGCTAACACATTAAAAACCTTCCACGAAAAGGCCGTGAGCGACCGGCCTCAAGCAGGTGTCCCTTGGGCTCTGCGGTCACGCTCACAGGTCGTTAAGACTACCACTAATCGAATTTCCTTTTCAGGTTCCTCAAGAAATACCCTTTCACGGTGTGGGCAGCCGGGAAGTGATTTCAGTCCTCATACCCGTAACAGCGCATGAGACCAAGTTGGTCACATTCAAATCCTACACCTCCTAATACCTCTCTTATCTCCACGACTAACCCTTCTCACTTCCCTTTATTACCTTGCACCGCTAGGGCAAACGATTCGAGTACACGGAACGCTATTCCTGGTCTCCTGAAACCACGCTTTAAACTACACGTAGGAGCTTTTAACGTCCGAACACTGTGCCAAATAGGACAGCAGGCTTCCTTAGCTAGGACTTTAGAATCCCGCGACATCAATGTGTGCTGCGTCTCCAAAACGCGAATACAGGATCCGAGTAGCGTAATTCATTTGACCTCACCATGCCAAAATAAAGAACCGACTCGATTCACACTTCGTGTATCTGGAAGCCCTGATCCTGCTTCCTGTGGCCTCGCCGGCGTAGGTATAGCATTGAGTCCCAGGGCAGAACTAACTCTCCTAGACTGGAACCCAGTAGACAGTCGTCTGTGCGCTGTCCGACTGAACGAAACAGTAAGGATCCGGAAGGATAGAGACACTCGTCGTTGCCTCTTCGTCGTCTCTGCCTATTCTCCCACTGACTACAGCGCAGATGATGTAAAAGATGAGTTTTACAGAAAGCTTTCCGACCTTCTCCGAAAAGCTAAGCGCTCGGATGTAGTAATAGTGGCCGGTGACTTTAATGCTCAAGTAGGTGAACTTAGCGATAGGGAAAGACACCTAGGTGGATCTTATGGTGTCGTGGCTCAAAAAACAGATGATGGCGACCGTCTGTTGCAGCTATGCTCAGATAACCGCCTGTTCCTTGCAAATACTAACTTTAAGCATAAGGAAAAACATCTTTTAACATGGCGACCCCCTAATTCGTCCCAACGTTGGACCCAAATAGATCACATCGCTATCAGCCACCGATGGAGGGGCTCGATAGAAGACTGTCGCTCATTCTGGAGCGCGTGTTTAGATTCAGATCATGCTCTAGTACGAGCGCGTATTTGTCTGCCTCTTACTGGACTTGGGAAGGAAAGACGCTGCAAGGAAACCTCTTAGGGTCCTACTTAATGATAGTCAAGCTAAGAGTATATTTCAGGAACAACTAGGAAAACAGTTAGGCAGCCATATAGTTGATGCCCACCCCAAGGCAGCATGGAATGATATCCGAAAAGCTGTGGAAACAGCAGTGATATCTGCTAGTACGGCAAACCACAAGGTTAAGGAGAAACACTGGATCTCAGCAGCATCTACCGCACTGATAGATGCTCGAAAACTCATTCCACCTGACTCTGAACATAACGAAGAGCGGAGTCAGCTTAAGAGCAAGCTGACAAGAAGCTTACGCAATGATCGTGAACAGTGGTGGGTAGCGAAAGTAAGAGAAATGGAAAAGGCAGCGGCAATAGGTAATAGCAGACAATTGTTCAGACTCGTTAAGGAAACCGGAATTAGGAACCCGACCGTTAGCGAAACAATCTCAGAGAAAGATGGACATATTCACTCTAAATCCAGGAGATTGGATCGATGGTCAGAACTCTTTAGGGATCAGTTCAACTGGCATTCGGCCACACTTCGGTTTCCCACGATCTCTGGTCAACCTGAATGGCAAGCTAATGTAAGTCCTCAGACTCTTTACGAAGTTGAAAAAGCAATAGGAAATCTAAAGCGAGGGAGAGCAGCAGTCCCTAACAGGTTCACTCCTGAGATTTTTAAGGATGGTGGTCCAGTATTAGCAGTGAGATTAACTGAGGTCTTAGGTAGAATTTGGGAACTGGACTCAATCCCATATGACTGGTCTCAATCACTGATTGTGCCAGTCTATAAGAAAGGACAAAAGTCCTCCTGTGACAATCACAAAGGAATCAGTTTGACTAATATAGTGTCTAAAATATTAACTTCAATAATACTTTGACGCCTAACCAATGCTCGTGAAGAGCAGACTAGAGAAAATCAGGCTGGTTTTCGACCTGGACGTGGTTGTATACACCAGATATTCACACTACATCAGGTCCTAGAAAACAGACACACATCCAGACGCCCCACAATGGTAGTATTTCTCGACCTTAAGGCGGCATCCGACTCTGTTGATCGTAAGGTTCTATGGCAGTGTTTCTCACTGAAAGGAGTACCAAAGAAGTACATTAACCTTATAAAGGCTCTCTACTCGAACACAACTGGTAGAGTGAGAGCTTATGGCGAACTGTCATCAGAATTGATTACCTCAAGTGGTGTTCGTCAGGGCTGTCCACTCTCTCCATTCTTGTTCAGCTTTGTCGTTGACGTACTTTTAGAGATAGCACTTTCCTCGTCTAAATTTCCAGGGGTTGAACTTCTACCGGGAGGTTCACTTGTTGACTTAGAATATGCTGATGACATAGTTTATTTGGTGAAGACGCTGACAAAATGCAAAGTCTTCTGACCACTCTAAGCAACAATGGAAGCATGTTCGTGATGCGATTCTCCCCCTCGAAATCCAAAATGTTGCTTCAGGTTTGGGTTGCATTGACACCCGAACTAATGATAGGGAGTGAAGTAACTGAGCGTGTTGATCGCTTCACTTATCTTGGAAGTGTCGTCAGCCCTTGTGGTTTAGTGTGTGACGAAATCTCAGCACGGATACAGAAGGCTCGACTAGCTTTTGCCAACTTGCGTCATTTATGGCGTAGGCGAGATATCCCTCTATCAGCCAAATGACGTGTTTACTGTGCAGCAGTTCGTTCCGTCCTACTTTATAGCATTAAAACATGCCCGATAAGAGTAGTGGATATTCGTAGGTTACTAGTATCTGACCATAGGTGTCTTCGAAACATTGCTCGTGTATCCTGCGACCATCGAGTAATTAATGCAGTTGTTAGGAAACGGGTACTAGGTAAGGATGGAAAATCAATTGACGAAGTAGTGAAACTTCATCAGTTGAGATAGCTGGGAAATGTGTTACGTATGCACAATCACCGACTGCCTCGATGTACGATGTTTTGTTGTATAGGAGTAGATTGGAAGAAAGCTAGGGGCGGCCAGAACAAAACATGGCACAAATGCATGAAGTCACTGACAAGTAGACTGAGTCATGTCGGTAGGTGTAGACTACCTGGTTGGGGACCGCGAGATGATAGCAACCGACGGTTAGAGACCCTGAGTGACACTGCTAAAAATCGTTTGCAATGACGTAGGTGCATCCAATCTTTGTGTTCTCCCAAATTCTAATCTCCTGAATCCTCCTTGTCTCTCTTTTTACTTTCCAAATTTATTTCACTGAATTATATTCTTTAAATAACATCTTCAAACTTTAATGTTTCCGATTACTGCTTATACTCTTACCGTCTATACCACTACGGGATTTGAGTCGACCACTGCATCTCTGTGCTACTGTGGTGTGGCAACTCGAACTGGTGTACGTACGTACAAAATTCTAGGTTGTTACTGACTGACTGACTTATCTAAGGACAAAACAAATATCATATCATAACTATGGTCAATTCTTTATGGGAGTTATAAAACATGAAAATTTTCACAGAACATTGTTTTAATAAAAAGAAATGTATATTAGATCATTATGATAGCTTAACAGAATCATTAATCTATTAGACTATATATCAAAATTAATCTTAATAGATAACTGTCTTTATTGAATCCCAAATTATTACTGATTAGG